ATTTTGTTATCGTTTTTATCGTTTACTCTGTTTTCCTTGGTCTTTTCACGTGCGTTATGAATAAATTTTCTTTTTTTCGGTACTGGTACTAGTTTTATTTTGTTGTATTTATCCGCGACACCTTAAAGGCTGGTCCATGAAAGTATTGTCGGGCATAAACTGGTCCGTGGCGCAAAAAAGGTTGGGGACCGCTGCCCTAAGACATTTCTGGTTATAAGCCAACAGTTTAGGAACATGAGTCTTTTAGCCAAATTTATTTAGGATAAATAAAACATACCGCTGAGAGCACGTCGCTGCTGTTGGAAGGGGTAAACTACCTGGGAAATTTTGTTTGGTGATGAAGGCACGTTATCGTTCGAACTACACTGAAACCGTATCTGAAGTTATTTTTACATGATGTACTTTTAAAACCGAGGGCCTCAACTTTTTGTTTTACCTGAACGAGTATCTCATGGGGGAATATAAGAAGGAGAATCGAGCTGGTATCAGTTAATCCTGTGATCATGGACAGTTAAATAAATACTGACGAGCATGAAAACACTCTTCTAAAGCTTGAACTTGAAAGTCACACTTATCATTATATAGCGGTGTAATTCAAGAGCAGGCCAACTTCTTTCAGCATCACTTTGATTCGACCTCAGAAGAGTTTTTCCATCATGCGTGAATGAGGGCTCGAGGACCACCCAACCAAATTTAGCCATATCTCCGCATAAAGTCCAAATTCATTTTTACAGTTTCACAGTTTTTATCCAGAGACCAATAAGAGCCTTTTTAATAACTTACAGTATCACATAAAATGAGATATGACCCCCCAAAAAGACAAAAAAAAAAGAGTAGCAGAGTGGTCCTCAAAGTGTCCATGATCACAGGAGTAATGCTTTTTGTTTTTATTTCTTATCATAAGGATTTTTAGACAGATTGTCCCACTGCCCTGACACAAACAGGTGATAAGTGGCAATAGAAAACACTACAGCACCCAGAAGTCTCCATTTGAGCTGAGGAGAGACAGTCGCTATGGTGAGAGGATATCAAAGCTCATCATGGGTCATTTTTAGAGCGTGGTCACAGAGATCTGCGGGACACACAGCACAGAAACAACACAGTGAATTAACAGCTGAACGCATGGGGAACATCAGAACAGAAAGAAATGTTTGCATTTTGATGCATTTGGCCTCAACCTACCTGTCCTTTTGCTGCACAGTTTGTCTTTAACGTTGTCCGTTTCGTGAGCGAAGAATTCGATGATTTCATCCTCGTGCTGTTCCACTATTGTTTCACACTGAACAAAAAAGGAAAAATACACACTTAAACCACATCCTTTTTTTCTGTGCTCCTCCTTGGGGTGTGCTGGAGGTCTAAGTGGGAAAAACTATACTCACCGCAAACTTCATGCTGGCTGTAACCCTTGAATCCAACGAGGCCTCCGACAGGTCCATGGCCTCGCCGCTCCGAGACTTGATCCTGACGTACGACTTCCTGTTTGTGGAGGGATCCGTGCGCTCGCCGTAGTCCCCCATCCTCTCGCATATGCTCTCCATGAGCTCCAGGAGGTTTCCTTCTGAGCGTGCCAGAGGAACCTGGTGGTGTCAAAGTTCATAAGTTCTTTTTATTGCCAACCCACTGAAACTAACTGATATCTTTAAAATGAGATAATGACCTTCAGAGGCAGGCAATGCTTTCTATAAAAGTGTGGCCCTGTTTTGTGGTCAACACTGTTATGATGCAGTCTACAGTGGGGGCTGAACCCAGACTACAACGTGGCTCTGCTACTACAGCCTCACCTCTCTGATGGACTGACTCCCATCTGGATTGATCCTGAAAGATCCCGTCTGGATCATTTTCTTCGGGTCTATCTGGGAGATGGCCCACTCCATCTCGTCTACCAGAGCCCTGCAAGCTGAGGAGGGGAGGGGAGGTGCAGGAGAAGTCAGACACCGATTAGATTAAGACTTTTCTTTGAGCGTGCGGCCGAGGCTGCGCGTCAAATCGGTTACTCACCTCCACATCTGAGGTCCTGTCCTTGTCTGGCCGCCTGGCTGGAGCTCAGGAGGAGACACACAAGCAGGCAGTGTGTGAGCAGGAGAGCAGCTTCCCTCATTTTGCCTCTAAACGCGCACATTTCAGCATCACACAGGAAAACAAACAAACAAAAAAACATTCAAGTAAGTCGGCCGGAAGGTTCTCAGCCACCGTTTGCTATAAAACCCTCTGCAGCTCAGCAGCCGGGTTACTAATACTGACACAGAGATGCACTTTATTCCACTTTTCATTCAACTTACTGTTTCTGTGGGCCGCCAGGAGAACACCTTTACGCTTTTCCACGCTGTTGCATCGTATTCGGTGAAATGTGGTGACGTAGCAACCGGGTACGTGGAGCGTGAGACAGCTCGTGCAGCGCCCCCACGTGGGCGGGAAGATCCCTGCTGGCTCCCTACTCTGCAGCCAGGGTCATTTGTGTTAGAGCAAGAGTGTCAAAAATAAGGCCCGGGGCCCAAAATCGGCCCGGTAGACTCCTATCTGGAGGTTTTTGGAATATATGAAGGAAGTGTTATATTTTTGACATTTAACTATGTTTTCAGAAGTTTTACAGCTTGTCCTGCTGTTATGACTTCCATCATTGCCATACATACTATGCCAAAGTATTTAATTAATAGATAAACAATAACAATTAAAACCCAGTAAAATTCCTATTTTTTACTGGTTACAATCTGCTTGTTAAGTCTGATGTTACGGGTGACGTAGCTGACATTTCCGGGTCCAAATGCTCTTGAATAAACAATGATGGGTTAGGAGTAAGCTATCTAGCTGATGATTAAACATGATATGTTCTGTACTGGCTGATGCATTTCATAAAACACACATGCATACAGCACTGCTATAACAGTGGAAGTAAACCAAGATGGAAATCTACAAAACAGGGAGATTTTGGAGAGTTAGTTATGTTAGCCTAGTTGAGATTATCTTCCTGCCCATTGACTAGCTACAGTGGTACTGGTACACACAGCAGCACTTCTGGTGTTTGTTAGAATGTTTGGGGTAAGCATTAATTTGCTTTCAATATGGGTGCATGTTGAGGGTCAGTCAGTGAGCTTCAGCTCCTAAGTGTCTGATTTGCAAAGATAAGTGCCATTATATCGCTGCAATGTTGATTTAGGTGGAGAAGAATGTGTCTTGCACTGACGTGGAACGTGTGTGAAAGCAAAAGAAATTGCTACCAAGAGTGTCTGAGATGACGCCATCAACTACACAAGGTCAGTCATTATTTAAAATTCTCTCTTTGTTCTAATTATTCTCTTAATTTTATGTAAAGCATTGTGTTTTATATTGAGACACACATGTAGTCTTCATCAAAAAATGTCAAACATGTGCTTTAAGTGAATACTCCTTTGATGGATTTGATGGATTGCTGAGGAACCTGAGTTTTGCCAAGCTGAAGACAAGGCTTGCTATGTACTGGCATAACTCACTGTGACTGCGTAAGAGAAGAAACAGGTTGAGGAAGCAACAGTTGGGCAAACAGAGAAAGTATTGTGGTGAAAAAAAAAAGGTGCCTTGAAATTAATTATGTTAGGTGTTAAGCAAGAAATTTGAGTGAACCATCTCTCTTAATTTGTTTTTCTTAATAAAAGGGCAGCATATCGCAAGAAGAGAATCATGGCCAGCAACTTAGGTTTGGTCCTGGTTGTAGTCCAGCAGAGCTCATACCCGCCTTCCTTATTTAAGACTCTGCTTGGCCAGTACAACCTGACAGAAGGATCTAAAGTAAGCTGTCAGTAAAAAGGGGTCTGTGCTTCTAATAATGCATTTATAACTAAGTAATATTCTCATCCCCAAAGGCAGCTGTACACTGACTGTACTGGTGCAGTTGTTGAGGAGAGGGGACTGTTTTTTTATACAACAGTGGCCTGCTTGGCAGTTCTCCAGATGGGACAGTCTCTGATGACTGCACGATTGAGGTGAAATGCTCATGGTCAGCCAGAACCAAAACTGTCTTGCAGGCTGTAGAAAGGAAGGACTTTTTCCTACAGCTGGATGAGGCAAGTGGTTCCCTGGTATTAAAAAAGCATCGCAACTATCTACATCTCACAGGGGACCAACAGCTGTCACTTTATTGGTTGGACTCCATGTGACTTTGTAATCTTGCCTGTTGATAGAGAACAAACTTGGGCTGTTAACACTAAAACTTTGGAAATGTTATTTTACCCAACGGTCTATCACAGCTATGAATTCATATCTGCACAAGCGATGCATCGGTCCAGCTGTTTTCAGTTCATTTTTAAATAAATTATAAATATTTGAGATAGGGTGAGAAGTTCGGCCATCCGGGAGGGGCTCAGAGTAGAGCCGCTGCTGCTCCACATCGAAAGGAGCCAGCTGAGGTGGTTTGGGCATCTGACAAGGATGCCCCCTGGGCGCCTCCTGGGTGAGGTGTTCCAGGCATGTCCCACCGGGAGGAGGCCCCGGGGCAGACCCAGGACACGCTGGAGAGATTATATCTCTCGGCTGGCCTGGGAACGCCTTGGTGTTCCCCCGGATAAGCTGGAGGAGGTGGCTGGGGAGAGGGAGGTCTGGGCCTCTTTGCTTAGGCTGCTGCCCCCGCGACCCGGCCCCGGATAAAGCGGATGGATGGATGGATAAATATTTGTAAATTGTACATTTGTAATTATATTCAGATAAATGATTAAAATTAAGTTCTGATTTTAACAAGAAAATGTTTTGGACAAAAACTGTTTCTGAAAATAAAGAGTAACACATTTATCTTGTATTCCTTATTTTTAATGAAAATGTTCGGCAAAACAACTAGGCAGTAATCAGGAAGCTGGAATGAAATGAACAATATAACAAGCCACTGATGAAACAAAAACCACTTAGAGCAAAATTAAACATTTTACCAATTACAACTGAGAATTTTCAACTTTAAACTATGCAACTAAAAATGATGTAACATCCTGACTATATCCACAAAACAATCCAGAATACTTAAAAGGTACAAACAATAAAAATAAACATATTCAACAGTTGTACTGTCGGGTCGACAAGTAGTTAGACAGTGACACCATGTAATTTTGCCTCTGCACTTTCACTAGTCTAATTCATTCAGTTTCATGGATAACGGGTGTCTGTAAATTTGTAAGACACACACATACTTTCAGTATCTTATTAATATTTTTTCTGTACTGATGTGGGACGAGATTCAAAATTGAGAAACGTTTCAGTCTTTGAATGGAATGTGCTACATGTGCTCTTGCAGAGGAGATCAGCCTGTTATTGTTCACTTCCTGCTGTGTGAACTGTCCACTGACAGACGGAATGTTCAGCGAGACCCCCTCTGGGAGGATGTCCCGAATTGTGAAGTCCTTACCTGCAATGACCATGTCACCTGGTTGTAAATGTCGCAGTACTCCACAGTCAGCTGTTATCGCCTTATCTGAGGCTTTTCCACCGTACAAGTTGCTTGCAAAGGTTATTACACCATTTGGAGCCACACCAATTAGAGCCTTGAGTATGATCCGTCCTTTGCGTTGGCTATACAAACAACTTTGTGTGTCACGACTCTCTCTGCCAGAAACAGAAACCTCTGTGCAGTCAAGCACAATCCTGCAGTTAGGAAATGGCTGGAAGCAATCCGGCAGCGATGTCTGATTCTTGGCTCTCGAGGCGATGTTTTTTTCCAACATGCCAACATACAAAATGTCATGCAGTGCACTAACAATTGTTGTGAAAATGTTAGTTACTGTGGCTGTGCTGCAGTTAAACCTTGTTGCAAGGTCTACATGGCCACAATCAAGTTTGAGCTTCATTAGGGTTAGTAATAACTGGTCCACTATGGGCAACATTTGGACAGTCCAACCAGAATGATATTTGAGCTCAAATTTGGAAAGAAGGGATTCTAAAAACAGGACAGTGGCAGCATCGGGCAATCCAGTATAGTACTGGACTCTTTCAGGATTGTCAGATATTTGACTGAATGAGAACATCTGCTTCTGTTTCTCCAATTGTTTTTTTAGCTTTTCATTCTCTTCTCTTAGCATGTCATTCTCAATCTTAAGCACCACAAGACTACTGGAAGAACTTGAGGAGCTTGCAGTAGCTGTCTGTGTATCTGCATTGTTGGAGTGATGTAGCTCATCTGATCTTTCACACTGATTTTCACCACTAGCTGGGACCTGTTCTTTTTTCTTTTTATGCACAGGGTGTTTTTCTTCATCGGAGAAGTGAAAAGACTCCTCGTTCCATGCAAATCTTGTTGGCCCCGCAGCTTTTCCTTGAGGGAAATGCCAGCTGCAGACTCTTGAGTTGCAGTTTGGGGTGAAGTTAAGACGGCTGTAGAAGTGTTTAAAAAGGGAGAGAGAAATTATTCATCACATGGTAGCCCTCTGTTACTTATGTTTAACAGTGACCGTAATTAGTATAATCTTACACAACTTTTTTTGTGTATTATTGGCTTTTAAGCTTACCAGAAAGATAAATGCTGACAAATGTAGCTAACCATTTGGTGGTTAAGTCTCTGTTTTGGTCATTAACTCTCACGTAGGCTATGGATTTTAGTGGGTGTTCTTACTATGACGACATCATCGCTTTTCGTATGTCATTTTTAATCTTCCAAGAGTAGAAAGCTGTGTAGCTATAGCAAATTGACCCATAACTTTCAATCTTTGCTTAGAGAAATAAAAATGACATCCAAACCGCGTTGATATCTTCGTAATAAGAAAACATGATAAAATCCATAGCCTATGTAAAATTCGTAGAAGCCAGGATGTTCTGGGAATCCGTCCTACCGGTTGTTTCTGCGCATGCGCAGAACACAAAATTAAGTGGCAAACAGTCCTATGTTTGTGAATATAGGCTAGAAGTATAATTTGACGGGTAAAATTAATTGCTTAATTGCTGGAATTATTGTGTGAGAGCAGAAATGTTCAAAACTATGTACGTTGGGACGGTTCGCCAAAGTAGGATGGTTGTTTTTTTTATTAGCGGGTTTTAATTGTTCAACGCTAGCTATATTAGCCAACTAATGTAAGACCACACTTGCGTTCATCTTACAAGTTTATTCATTCACTTTGGAATTGTAACGTACCTTATCGCATGCAGCCACTTCTGCTTCTCTTTCTCGTCACAAGGAAAGCGGTGAAATGACAAATTCGTGTGTTTTTTTGATCCAGAATAGTTAAAACAAAAAGGAACACAGCACTGCGGCATGTTGAACACGGGTGTTTGGATCCGGAAACGGAAATTACGTCATCACTTAACGATAGATTTTTATTTAATTTTAATAATTTGTAATATTAAACATTAATTTATTCATGCTGGTACATTTTTATTTATGTAATGCAGCAACATTTCTTTATCATGCAAAAAACTGAGACTTGCACTTCTTTT